AAAAAAAAAGACAAGGTGAGAGAGAATAGCATTTGGGGTGTAGGATATAATGAAGGTACAGGACTCTGAAAGTACATATATGTTCAGAGTATTGTGGGTTGTGGGTTGTTGGTGTGGCTGGAGTGGTTTATATCACATGATCTAGTTGTGCTTTAATGTATTACAAGTGCAAATATTTTAGGGTCAAATGAAGGAGACTTTGTGTGCTAAGTGTATTATAGACAACAACTGCAGCGCAGAGCTGAGATGTGGATTTGGTGGTCAGTTACATTTTAGACTTGCATCCTTGCATGTCTGCTCTGCTCAGCACAGTCCTGGTCACAAATCTAAGTACATGCAGTGTTCTTACTCTCTACATGGCTCTCCACTTCAGCTGCGAATACTAATAGAGTTCATTAAAATTTGGACAATGCTGTGAGTAGCTTTAGAGTTGGGGAGCATGTGGAGCTAGCCACTGTTTCCCTAACAGTTCTGCAGGGGAAATGTCAGGATCATCTTTTCCATTCAACCTGAGGCCTAGACTTACTAGGAAATTCCTAGAGGTCACACATTGGATTCAGTATTTATTAAACTGCACAGTGAAAGTCACCTTTCTCTTCCTGTACAGCTTAGACCTGTTAACCACTAGATACTTATTAAGTACTCACAAAGGACAGAGCACTCGGTAAGGTATAATGACTGGTCACAAAGAAAATAGACATGACTCCCTTTCTAGGAACTTACTGTTTGGGATGGAATCAGTGGTGTTCTATTAAACCAGCTCTCTAGGGAAAAAAAATCCCGATTTGTAGTGCTTGTCAATCTCTGTGATGTATATATATACTTTCACCATCACTAATTTCAAGCTACTAATTTGATGTCACTAAACTTGGAGTTGGGAAGAGACGTACACTGTGGGTTCTTGGGAGCTGGTAAAGCTAGCTCCAGCACACCACAGATGAATCACATACTGAGAAAGCCTACAATAGCATTTCTGGAAAGAGCAGAGCCTCTCTCAGTGCCTCTCTCATCCTCCAGGGTGTCCTGGGAATGGATAGTCATGGTCTTGGTCTTCCTTTCCTGTGGTTGCCATCTTTTCGAGCCAGGTGAAGTTACTGGTGTTTCTTGTTTCTGACAGCAGCCCCAGCTATCTGACTTCATGTGAAAGATGGCTAATGCGGAAGTGAGTGTCCCAGTGGGGGATGTGGTTGTGGTACCCACTGAAGGAAATGAAGGAGAGAACCCTGAAGACACTAAAACCCAAGTGATCTTGCAGTTACAGCCTGTGCAACAAGGGTAAGTGAGTAGAGATTTGGATATTCTAAAGAACTTGGGAGGTTTAAAGGGTGGGGAAATGGCAACTTTATGGTTCTTTAGCACTATGGAGCATTCATCATCAATCTCAGAGCTGCTTGTTTTCATCTCTGTAATGTATTATATGCTATCTTCATAATTTTATTATTTATTACAATGATTAGCTGTTTCCCTCCTTTATTTCCTTTTTGCTTCTGTGAGCTACTTGGGGGTAAGTTACATAGTTCCCTCATCTTGTTTGCCTACACTATTTAGCACAGAGCTTGGTACATGTTTAGCAAATGACATTACAATTAGAGTCAGAGGAGTTTAGGCAAGGTAACTATAAATAGTGCTGCCAGAAATTCCCTGGACCCTCATGGATAGTCAAATTATCAAGCTTAGTCTAATATATATATATATATATATATATATATATATATATAAAACACCTACTATTACAAATAGTAATTGTAATTTTATATTGCAAAAGTGTTGAGTGAAGTATAAAGGATGGAGGCCCTCCCACGTGGTGCAAAAGGTTAAAGCACAAGACTCTGAAGCTATCCACAGCCACTGCAGTACGAGTTTGATTCCCAGCTAGGGGGAGGTGACCCACATGGTGCAGCAGAGTTCTCTGGTCTCGCCTGCTCCAGTCTCTGCTGCTCCTCTCAGCAGTGTGTTTCAGTGAATCCACCTAGTTCAGTTCCCCACTGTCTTTGGTGAATCCTCTCACACCCCACACTGTACACCAGTTCTTGTATACATAAATACTTTTTTTTTTATTAAAGAAATGTAAAGGATGAGGCCTACCATCATGGAACTTGCTATGTAGTTTTGCAAATCCAGAATACATACATGTAAATAAAGAGATGGCTTATATCGTAAAATCTGGTTATGTTGTGTGGTATCGTTAGGAAACACTTTTGAATTCAGATGACCACTATGAGTTTGAAAAAAGATATGGTTTAGGAAGTGGTCTTGAAGGTTCAGTAAGAATTAGATCTACAGAGAGAAGGGGGAGTAGTTGTTTTTCTGGGGGAATCTATAAAAGATTCTTCAGAGGCATAGAAATGTTCTTGGACAAACATCATTCCATTCTACTCTAATGATGAAACATGTCTTAAATAATTCTAGAGAAAGACATACAGCATCTCAGTAATTTTAAAACCTTTTCAGTATGGGAAATTTCAAATATGCCCAACAATAAAGAAAAACTATAATTGAGTCCCACGTAAGCACCCATCAACCAAGTTCAACAACTACCGACACATGACTAGTCTTGTTTCTTTTCTACATCTTCCCACTCCTGATGTTTTTTGAAGCAAATTTCAGACATTAATATGTATCTGCAAAAGACAAGAATTTTTTTTTTTTTTAAGATTTATTTATTTGTGCGTACAGAACTGGGGTACAGGCCAGAGGTGCAGGGGCGGTGAGAAGATTCACCAGAGACAGAGTGGGAAGCGAACAGGCAGATCGACAAAGTACACTGCTGAGGGGAGCAGTGGGCGAGACAGGACAGGTCTGCTGTGCCATGTGGGTCACCTCCGGGTGGGGATCAGACTCACAGAAACAGCCACAGCTTGGTTTAGCTTCGCAGTGCAGCACTCTGACCTGCTGCGCCACCAGGGAGGGCCCTGATTTTATTTACTACATAACTTTTCTCAATGTGCCGACTTTATTGTTTTTCTTTAGAGGATATTCAGCCCAAATGTAACAGTACAGTTGACTTTGCAGTGGCTCTGCTTCCTCTATAATAATTACACCTCTCCATAGCTGAAGGTTAAAGTCTCCGTGGGGATAGATAACCTTTTTCAGGTTAGTGAGGTACCCCTTGTTGTGTGTAGTAATTGTAAGCAACTTTGTGGTAATCAGACTCTTTTCCTTTACATTCTGAATAAAAAGGAACTTAATCTGTGAATTTTCACTTTTCGGAGAATTAAAATATAATAATGTAGATTTAGTGGTACAGTTCTAATAAAAGTAATTTTACTTTTTTGATAATTCATAGACATGTATCTTACAGTGCTTTAACATTTTGAACATATGATTTTTTTACTATAGTTGTAGGTATAGAGAATTAGGCCTAATCCTTAAGTATTCGAGTTGCTTTAGAATCTTTTTCCCTCACAAACAATTTCTTAACTCATTAAAAATACAGACTACCCCCCTACTTCTCACTTCAAGTGCAGTTTATTAGTTGTTGAAATTATGTACAAACAAAAATATATTCTTTTAAGAGATTTGGGCAGCTTAGAATGTTTACTAATCTTACTTGAAGCAGTGATTTCTCATGTTTCTCATTCATTGAACATTATCATGTTCCAGTTACTGTACACTTAGCAGGCATAAAATTAAATAAATGAATGAGACCATCTCTGCATTCCAGGACATCTTAGACCATGTCCAAAGGAGACAGTTAAACAAAAATATAGTATTAGCAGTGTGGGTGTTGTGACAAAACCCCAAATAAACTTAGGTCACAAAGGAGAAAGTGGGTGAGTATCCTGGAGGGATTGAGATGGAAGGAAGAACCTCATAGAGGCTACTTACTTAAAAAACAAATAAATGGGCAGGGGTGTCTTTATAGCAAGAGCAAGATTTTGGGAGCCACAAATGGTTTGGTGTAACTGAGGCTCTGATGATAAGGCATGGGTTAGGGAGCGTTGAAATCAGGGGCTTGTTTTGGAGAGACATAAATATCATATTTAGGATTTGCACCTTTTTTCAGCAGCAGTGAGAGGGTTCTTAAAGGCTTGTAAGAAGGGAGTGACATGAACACCCTGGGGAGAATACAGGTCAGGTAGATGCAAAAGACTAGTTCAGACCAGAGATCTAGAGGTGACAGCCTGAAGTAAGCTGGTAGCGGAGGAAACACAGGAGTGGCTGTTTTTAAAGAGGTACATCTGGTAAGATTTGGTGACTGAGTGTGTGGGAGTTGAGGAGGAGGAGAAGGGAGAAATCTAGTGTAATTTCCTGGCTTCTGTCTTAGGCGACTATGCTGAGTGGTGCCATTGGCAAGAATGAGGAAGAAGGGTAACTTGGGAGGTGGGAGAGAGAAGACAACTTGGTTATTTTAGACATAATGAATTCAACAGAGACCTGTGGGGCATCCAAATGTATTGATTCATTTAGCAGTTCACTGTGTCCTGATGTGAAATTCAGAAGAGAAGTGTGTGCTAGAGGCGTCACCATGGGGTGGGTAGTCATCTATGTACGGAGGTTATTCAGGCACTGCTTTCCAATAACAAAATGCAATAATTAACATGAGCTCCATTGTAAAAATTTAAGAACACCAGTGTATCTTACTAGTGTATGTTATGTGAGCCCATTTTTTAGAAGGTAGAAACATTTCAGTGACACATTTTCCCTAAGTAGTACCTTTAGTTACTGCTTGTACCTTTAGTTACTGCTTGTAATTTGGGCAGTCTCTCGTTTGCATTTTCTGACTAGACTCTGCTGTGAAAGTAGTTTGATCACAGTATCTTAAAAATGCTACTGTGTCTAGTGTTGCCTTGGTGGCCCAGAGGTTAAAGTCTAAGTGATATCAAGCTACCATGCCACTGTGGCATGAATTTGATCCCCAGCCAGGGAGCTAATACACATGTGGTATAGCAGACTTCTCCTGTCTCTCCCCCTGCTCCACTCAGCAGTAAGATCCACTTTAAAAATATATATATAATTTATGCGTATAAGAACTGTGGGGTTCAGGGTGAAAGGATTCACCAGAGACAGAAGGGAGAACAGAACAGCAGAATGACGGAAATTCACCGCTGTGGGGAGCAGTGGATGAGACAGGAGAGGTCTGCTGCACCATGTGGGTAGCTCCCTGGCCTGGATTCTAACTCGTGCTGCAGTGGCTGTGGATAATGCTGTGTGCTAACCCCTTGCACCCAGGATCCACCTGTTCTGCTCCCTACTCTGTCTCTTGTGAATCCTCTCACTCACTGCACCTCTGGCTTACTCTCCAGTTCTTGTATGCATAAATAAATACAAATCAGTTTTTAAAGAAAAATGCTATCATGCCTAGATTCCAACACGGACATCAGCTTCTATATCCAACAAGTCCTGCCTGCCTTGAATGGGCCAGTGGTATTGCTTTTTAGTTTTGTCAGAATAATTCTAGAATGTGACTTAATCTTATACTTGAAGGAACATTTTATATCATGAGCTTTTGAAGTTCTGAAAGTTAAGAAAATTCTGATGTAAAACAATAACAGATGTGGTGTAAATACAGTAGCAAGAAGATCTTTCCTTTAAGATGAAGAAGGTTGTTGATTCACTTCTATGGTTGTAGCTGCTGAACAGCCTTGGGTAGCCTGGAATATGATTACAATGGGGAACTAATCAAAGTACAAACATAGAATTGTAAAGTATATTTATCTTAGTCCTTTTGAGATAGATGAAAACAAATTTCTTAACTCCATGCTGTGAATATTAATTTTTTCATGATTTATGTAGTTTGTTTATCGATGGACACTTTTACAACAGGATTTATGAAGCTGGGTCGGAGAACAACACAGCAGTTGTGGCAGTAGAAACTCACACGATACACAAAATTGAAGAAGGGATTGGTAAGTTTTTTGTGTTATTCCGGTATTTGACCTTAGCTTCCTTGGTTGAGATTTCTTGCTTTTTGTCCCTATTCGTTATGTCCTACTAATGCTGCAGTCATCATTTAGAGTGACTATAGACTAAGATGCTAGGGCTTTCAGTTAATGCTTTAATATTAATTTGCTAGGGTTACTGAAAGATTTTTCATCTTTAAAAATCATACAAAGATATTGGAACCTCAAGGTTGATCGTTGTTATCAAGGAAGTTGCTGATGAAGACTGATACGTATTAACTGAAAGAAGTCAGTGGAAAAATATTGAGAAGAAATTCTGAAATAAGATAAATCTGAATTTTAATCCTACTTTATCACTTTTTATTGATAGTTGTGTGCCCTCAGGGAAGTTGGTTCACCTTTCTGAGTCCCACTTACATGGATGTAAGACATAGGACACAGGCAATCCTTCAGAAGACTGTTGTAAGACAGCAGTAAGAGCATACAGCAGTGTCTAGTGGAAGCTTGCTAAGAGAGCTGTTATGCCAGACTTCTTCCCAAGGATCCCTAAACAGTCCTAGTCTTTATGAACCAGGGTATAGAGCCCCCCGGAGGACTCAGGAGACTAGAGATACTGAATTTAAGCTTTGGGGAAGATTCTTCAATAAATAACTTTTTCCCCCCCCATTTTCAGATGCAAGCACCATAGAAGCAAATGAGGATATGGAAATTGCTTACCCCATAACTTGTGGGGAAAGCAAAGCCATTCTCCTCTGGAAGAAGTTTGTATGTCCAGGAATAAATGTGAAATGTGTCAAGGTAATTGTCTTCTCTCTCTAGGGATCTATTTGGTAACTCCTTGTTTTTGACAGGGTGTGGTTTCATGCCTTCTCACTTTTCTCAAGTCCACATTTCCAATGTTGTGTCTATAGTCCCCAGTGTCACAGTAGAAAAATAAAAACTTTGGAGTGAAATTGGCCTGGATTCAAGTCTCTGCAGAATAGAAATTCTCTGGGAGCTGAGAACTCTTGTGTGTTGTTCATCAGTATACCCCCAGCATTTAAAATGATGCTTGCCGTATTTATCAATAAATCTTTGTTGAGTGAGGAATGAATGAGTGAATGAGTGAATGAATGAGATCCCATCTTTATCACTGACTAGTTGGGTTAACTTTAGCAACTTATTTAATATTTTAGAACCTCATATGTCAAAATACAAATAGTCATTTCTATACATTGTAAGATTGCTAGAATATGAAATGAGATAATATACATAAAATACCATATACTGGTAGAGTTTATTGAAAATTAGTACTGATAATAATAAATAATTTCGTGAGAACACAACGAAGAAATAGCGGTTTATATTCTCTCCTTCGGGAGCCACAGTTGTACCCATGGATAGTTGTTATATCACTGCAGTGGCATCATCCTGGAATCTTTAAGGATTGTGGAATTTTGAGGCTCTTTAGTGCTTTTGGTTTCTACCATACTTATTCTTTCTGCCACAGCCTGAATCTTGGCATGAGGGCTGGACAGATCACTTCCATTTGAACAGTATTTCTCCCCAACTGCCTGATTAAAGTCATGCATGGACTTTGGATGCTAATCAATGTATTAATAACTGACCCTCCTTACATGTTCTGTAGGTTTTTGCCAGAACTGGGTCCTGCGCTTGGAGATGCACAGGACCATCTTCTCTGACACAACAGGGCAGGAGGCTGGGTCATATAAGACTGTGATCACATGTTGACTGGCTGCTTTTTAGACATAACGAGCTCCTGTTTGTCTTCTTTCTTGGCCTGCCTAAATTTACATTGCATTATGTTGGACTTTTCTTTTTACTTTAGTTCAATGATCAGTTGATTAGCCCCAAGCATTTTGTTCATCTGGCTGGCAAGTCCACCCTAAAGGACTGGAAGAGAGCCATTCGTCTGGGTGGAATTATGCTCAGGTGAGCTCAAACAATAAGCACCTTTCAACAGACTTAGTCATGGTAGGTTCCAGAGAATCCAGTCTTCTTTTTAAATTTTAAGTTTTTATTTTTATTTTTTAAAGATTTATTTACTTATGCATACAGAACTGAGGTACAGGCCAGAGGTGCAGGGATGGTAAGAGGATTCACAAAGACAAAGTGGGAAACAGGACAGGCAGATCTACTGAAATGCACTGCTGAGGGGAGCAGTGGGTGAGACTGGAGATGTCTGTTGCACCATCTGGGTCCCCTCCCTTACTGGGGATCCAACTTGTGCTGCAGTAGCTGAGGATGGTCTCACAGTGCTGTGCTCTAACCCCTTGCACCATGAGGGAGGTCCCTAATTTTAAGTTTTTACTCTGTCTGAGTAATCTATGCCGTAGTTGACCTTCATTAACTTGTTCTGAAAATCCCAGGGAAAAAGGAAGATTGCTAAGTTAGCTTTTCCTAGCA